TATTACGATTATGATTATAATTATGATTATTATTATTATTATTAAATTTTCAATCTTACGACATTTCGATGCGCTTATTCTTCTTTTTCTATTTTCTTTTTTATAATACTTATTATTTAATGACAATTAAAAATTATTGTCCCTATTATCATTATTTTATAACGATGACGATGTAATAATATTCATGACGATTATTATTACTATTATTATTATTGTTATTATTATTATTATTATTATTATTATTATTATTATTATTATTATTATTATTATTATTATAGTTATTATTATTTAGAAACACGGTTAATTTTGTTTTCTTATTATTTAGGTTGACATATCGATCGTAAGATTGAGAAGTCGAAGGTACATTTAGTTTCGTCCTCGAAAGTATCTCGAGTAAAACGTTCTAACGTAATATTTCAAAAGGTATAGTTATAAAATATAAGTCGACGACGAACGACTTAACGTGACACTTTGCGATTATATATATATATATATATATATATATATATATATATATATATATATATATATATATAATATTTCAGCTCTCCGACGATGACGTTTTAAGCTGTCCAAGTTCAATTTCGTTCGTTCGTTCAATGTTCGTAAGAGTCTAGGAACGATTTATTCTATCCTAGTGAAAAGTTTTAGCTTTGTGTTCTTCTTCGTACACAACAATAACAATAACAATAACAAAAGCGACGACGACAAATATTTCTTCGTACTGTTGATCCTATTTTTTATTTTGTTTTTCTTTTATCCAATGTATTTAACAGGAAAAAAATTCATAAAAACGAATAAGAAAAAGAAAAAGGAAAAGAAAAAGGATGAAAAGGAGTGAAATCGAGAAAATTATTTTTAAAGATTTTCAATGGAAATTTCTTCCTTTTTTTTCTTTCTTTTTTTTTTTTTTCTTTTCCTTTTTCTTTCCTCCAGCGTAAGGAATCGAAGAGAGATTAATTGAAGATTTTAGTCAGGAGAGCGGTGGGAGAACGGGGCCGGGGGGGGAAAGGAAAGAGAATAAGGGAAATTATGAGAAATTAAGAAAGAGAAAGAAAAAGAAAAAAGAAAAAAAAAGAAAAAAGGAAAAAGAAGAAAAGTGGAAAATAAAGAAAATATGTCTGAATGCGAGATCCGTCTATTTGCCCGTTTTTAGGAGAGAAACCGCCGCCCATGGTGGTCACTTCCAGGAGCACGAGGGAGAAGTCTGGTGACAGAATGAATCGGCAGTTCCTCGGGGTACTTACCAAATCATTTTTTTTATTATACCCTAAATACAAAATACACACACCATATACCTAAATATATAGATATAATGCAGATTGTCTTCCACTACACACACATACACACACACACACACACACACACACACACACACACACACACACACATACATACACATTCATATACACACATATATATATGGGTATGTGTATGTGTATGTGTATGTTAATTTATTATATAAATATATGTATTAATTTGTTAATATTTATTTACAAAGAAGTATATATATATATATATATATATATAAATTTTTTTAGCTATATTATATATATATATATATATATATCTATGCGTGTGCGTATGCATGTGTGTGTACGTCATCTGCCAAATGGTCGTGCGTATTGTCGTGTAAATCTTTACAAAGAAAATTTCGTTCCAAAATGAAAGGGAAAAAGATCGTTGTCGTCACGTTCTCGTTTTCACCTTTTTTTTCTTTTTGTTTTTTCGGATGTTTCCTTTTTTTTTTTTTATTATTATTTTTTTTTTATTATTAATATTATTATTATTATTATTATTTCCATCGCATCGCGACAGATGCTGGCAAAGAGAGCGAGAGAGAGAGAGAGAGAGAGAGAAAAGAAAATGGAACTCTCTCTTTCTCTCTCTCTCTCTCTCTCTCTCTATTTCTCTCATTTCGAATGTGAACCATCCCTTTTTTTTTGTCTCCCCTCATGGCGCGACTTCCCTCGCAAAAATTTGTGGTTTTTGCGAGACACATAACACCTCTAAAGCTCGTACGTACGGAAAACTACTAACGATTGGTCGATTTTTCTGTCTGGCTTTATTTCCTTTTTTTTTTTCCTCTTTTTGTTTTTTTCTCATTTTCCTTTTTTCTCCCCGCCCCTCTCCCCTCTCTATTCCCTCGTCGGGTTGAATCGCGAAAACAACGTTTAATCGACGTGGCGATAGTCGTCGAATTTGAAAAAAAAAAAATAAAAAAAAAAAAAGAAATAAAAAAAAAAGAAGTTTCTCCATTTTTTTCCTATTTTATTTTATTTTTTTTTTTTTATTTTTTTCCATTCACTTTTATTCTTTCCACTTTTTTAAACGTTGTTAAAACGCATAAATCTACGGATTCGGGGAAAGTCCGTGCGCGTAATCGTATACATCGCTGTTCGATCGTTTTTCCGTTTAACGAACAACAACAACAACAATAATAACAACAACAAAAACAACAACAACAACAACGATCATTTATATGTATTTATATATACATATATATATATATATATTTTTTTTCTTTTTTATTATTATTTTATTTTACTTTTATTTCGTCGTTTTAAATATTTCGCTGAGACACAGAGATTACGCGGCGACCATTCGGCAGAATTGGTTACGAATTTGATTTGTTCTACTTTGGACGACTACGAATCGTGCACAGATATGCACTTCTTGTCTATTTACACACTTCACTCTCTCGCCATACATAACACGTATATCACTCACCGATCGATTCCAGATTTCCTCTTTCGAAAGATAATCTCTTTCTATGTGATATGCGTTTACTTTTGTTATTTTAAGAGATATAATGATAAATACATATATATATATATATATATATATATATATATATATATTTACATTGATAACAAGGATAATTCGTTTAATAAAAATGAAGAGTATCATAAACGTACGGAATGTTATATTTATTTTTTTCTAATTATCGTTATCGCATACTATTCTAATTTTTTTCCTTATAAATAATTGCATCTGGTATGCAGGTGTGTATGTCTGTGTGTGCGTGTTTTTTCTTTTAAAAATCGAATCATAAAAATAGGAATACATAAGTAAAATTAGCATATACATATTAGAACATTGAGAATTTCCTTCGATTCCTCGTCTAATTCGTATCATTAGTTTTCTTTTTTCTTTTTTTTTTTTTTTTTTTTTTTGTTTTTTCCTTTTTTACACTTACAAAATCAGGCTACGTAGATCTGTACGTAGATATTTAATTTAATGTCATTTGTGAATCGCTTGATATAACTCTTTGTTTGTGTGTGTCAATGCATCGGGGCATATCGTAAATGCTTACGAGTATATAACACACGTAGATATATATATATATGTGTGTGTGTGTGTATGTACAATTTTATATCTAATAATATATGTAAATGTTTTATGTTTTATATAATAGTTATTATCTAGATGTATACCGTATCTCACAATTATGCACGTATACATACGTACACACATAAGATGCAATACAAAAAAAAAATTATATATATATACATATACATATACATATACATATACATATACATATACATATACATACGGACACACGCACGCACGCACGCACGCACACGAGCCCTTTATTCCTTTCATACATCCGCCTATGCTATGTTTCAATACTATATACTACGAAACACACATAATTTATTTACTATACTAGTCACTCCCAACAGTTTCTAAGCAAACATTTCGCGTTCATGACGTGCGTGAAACTTGAACGATAAAGTTTGCGAGGACCTCTTGACTGCGTCTTTCGTGAGAAGATGTTTCCAGGTTCCTCCATGAGAGTTTTCCACCATAAGAATTTGTATCTCTAGATTGTAATCCTTGTCTCGTTGTTGTGTACCAAGCGAGATGTATTACTCGTGGAAAATGCGATGACGTGACAGGAGAAAGAAAAGGAAGAGGAGGAGGAGGAGGAGGAAGAGAAGGAGGAAAAGGAGAAGGAGAAGGAGGAGGAGGAGGAGGAGGAGGAAGAAGGAACAATGTTTAAATGATATGGTAGAAATGAAGGAAAAAAATAGGAAAAAACGATAAAGTATATAAAAATCGAAATTGATAGTAAAACGCATGAGAATAATGTGTGTTTGATTTTTTTATATTTTTTTTCAGCGATTATCTTTGTGCCGATTGAGAGAGAGTGAGAGAGTGAGAGAGAGAAAGAGAGAGAGAGAGAGAGTAAAAAAAAACCATGAGAAAAAGAGAAGGATATATAGATGAATATGTAATTTGTGATATCTGTATGTATGTCATCGTCGATTTTCTTTTTTTCTTTTTTTATCTCACATCGATGATAAATATATGTTTTTGTCGTTTTTAACATATCAATTTAAATATAATCGACAGCGAAGTGTTTACGCTGCCGAAATAATTTCATTTATCGATCAATATATACGTCTATTCGTATACGAGTTTTGTGAAAGAGTTTCGTAGATAAAACCAACAAAAAAAAAAAAAAAAAAAAGAAAAAACAAAAAAAGAATCAAAACAAAACAAAGAAAAATGCAAGCATTATTTTACGTATCAGGATACGATCTTATCTCGAATCCCTTTGTTATGATATTATCGAGAGAAATTATAAAGGATGATTCAATATGATTTTCTTGTTCTCTCTCTTTTTTTTTTTCTTTCTTTTCTTTTTCTTTTTTTACACACCATAGTACTCAAGGTACTTGTAATATATTTACAAGAACGAAGTAATAATTGTTTGGTTGATCAATTCTCTCTCTTTTCTTTTTTTTTTTTTTTCTTTTTTTTTTATATGCATTTCGATATCATGTCGAAAAAATATATCGGAGAGAGATTGAAAAATGTGTTGGAGAGTACAGGAGTTAAAAAAAAATATATATATATATATATATATATATATATATATATATATAAAGGAAAAGGGTAGGATAATGTGTAAATGAAAAAAAAAAAAAAAAAAGAAAAAAGAAAAGACGAGAAAATTTGTTGGATGACGTATAATACGTGTACCACAGGAAAGGATTACAAGAAGAACGCGGATGATCCAACTATGGCTGCGAGCGAGGATTCACGTGGAAAGAATGTTATCCACAATGGGCAACATCTCATCGCAAGTATTATCAGCATCAAATTTGACGGTGATCATTCATCGCGAGAACCGCGAAAAGTTGGGAACACAATCGTCAAACGGAGTTGCCGGAGGAATGGCATTGAATGTCGTGCCAATAATAGGAGGTGCGTTTCAAGATATCGCGTGTTGCCGTACGCCATAATTATTTTTTTATTAATTACTACAAAGTTTAATCCTTTGCGAGTGGATATCTTTATGGCAAAAGAAAAAAAACCAAAAAAAAAAAAAAACAGAGAAAAGAAAAGGAATCAGTGGGAGATAACAAAAAAGAAAAAAAAGAAAAAAAGAGCGTAGTCGTAGGATTCCAAGAGTAATTCGTAATTTGTTTCGAATTAATTTTTCAATAATAAATTTCGATAGATTATAAATTATTCGTTATGTTATAATTGTCGAGAGATTGAAAAAAAAAAAAGATTAAGCTTGATTAAAGAATTTTTCTTGCTTTTTTTTTCTTTTTTTTTTTTCTTTTTTTTCTTTTTTTTTTCTGTCTTCTCGCTCGAGAGTCCATTCGGCCCGGATCGAAATACCTCGTCTCGTAATTTTACTTATTTACCCTATTTTCTTCTTTTTTTTTTATTATTCTTTATAACCTTTTTAAATTGCATTTCTTTATCAATGACTGAATATTTGGAAAAGAAGAAAAAAAAGAAAGAAAGAAAAAAAAAAAAAGAAAAGAAGAAAATAAAGAAAGCTTTTCGTCTTACACGTGCAAAGTACGTCGGTTTTCTACATTTAATATTCGTTTTGGATTAATATGTAAAAGAAAAAAAAAAAAATTAAAAGAAAAAAAAGAAAAGAGAACAAGAGAAATAATAAATCTAAATAATAATTATTATTATTGAGATTTCAATGCAATTGTCGTGATGATCGTTAAATGCGAGATAATTAGGATGGATTGAAGAATTTTTTTTTTTCCCCTTTTTCTTTTTTTTTCCTTTTTCTTCTTTTTTTTTTTTTTTTTTCTTTTGTGCTCTCCTTTCGCTTGACCAGTTCGACCCGGATCGATATACGTGATCACTTCTTTGAAGAATTATAACTGGATGGGATCGAGGGCGTGATAGATAGTACGCATACGTTCGCTTATTTTCTTTCTTTTCTATTTTTTTCTTTTTTTTTTTTTTCTTTCTTTTCAATTTTTTTTCTTTTTTCGTTTATTAGTTTTATTATTAAAAATGCCACACGGAGTTGGGTCATCGATGCTTACATATTAACCGACGCAGGGCGCTTGAAGAACTCGTTAGTAGAATATGATCTAAAAATGAGAGAGCATTATGGATCGTAACCTTTAGAATATGTGTGACAGTTCGTGGTTTAACGCGATATTAATCGTACGTTATTACTTCGATTATATATCGATCGATAATGCATTATCTTTTTAATAGGATCATTGTAAAATTATAATCGAAATGAATTATCTCGCTCGAGTATCGACGTTTATTATAATATTTTTATAACGATCTTAACGAAAAACGATTTCGTTTTATCTCATTTCTTTTCTTTTCTTTTCTTTTTTTTTTCGTCCCTCTGTCTCTTTCAAAACGAATGTTTTATTTCTTTTTCGTTTTTTTTTTCAATTACGAAAAAAAATTCAAATTCATTGCGTTAAACTCGTTAAACACGTTGAAGTGACACGAGTGACGCGAACGTTTGCGTATATAAATTTTGAAAAAAGAAAAAAAAAAAGAAAAAAAATCCATCCATTCTCATATCACTCATTAAATTATCTGTTGAACAATTTAACGAGAGATATTTGCCGTCCGAGAGAAAGAGAGAAAAGATCGATTGATCCTTGAACGACGAGTTAATTCGAATCCACACGATTAAATACATTAAGACGGGCGGCAGAGCCGTGTCAATGAAAGAGAAAAAAAGAAAAGAGATAAAGATAAAAGGGAAAAAAAAGTAAAAAAAAATTAAAAAAAAATGAAAAAAAGGGAGGAACGAAAAGAAATGAGAGGGCGGTGGTGGGGGAGGGGGCGGGAGGTTTGGTATAAGAGAGAAGAAAAAGCTCGCTCACGGAGAAAAAAAGTGAAGTGGACGAAATATAGAGATCACCAAGTGCACGAAGTGAGATTTGAATTGAGGCATGAAATGAGAAGGAAGGAAAAAAGAGAAAGAGGGAAGAAGAGATAATGAAAAAAATAAGGAAAAAAAAAGGGGAAAAAAAAAAGAAGAAGCGGAAGAAGAAGACCGAAGAAAAAATCCATGGGGGATATATGGCTTTGTTTGATCAGGTTCACAGAGAGGAGGGGAAAAAAGACGGTACGATTTGACGGAGGGACCAATATTGGCAGTCCTCAGGAGGATTGGTCATGGGAGGCCGATCGGTTGGTTAGTCAAGACAGCGCAACCAAAGATTCCGTTATAGAGGAGACATCAAGCACATTCACGAGCAACAAGGATAGCAATAGGAAAGAATTGTCCAAGGTATACTTACATATAACTGAATGCCTGAATTTTCTCGAGTATAATGAAGTCGATGAATTAACGAGAGAGAAACAAAAAAAAAAAAAGAAACAAAAAGAAAAAAGAATGAAAAAAAAATAAATTACGCAAAAGTTACATAAAAATTAATAAAAGATTAAGATACATTTATCGTGTCTATCGATTGACCTTTAAGAAAGACAATATATTTTTTAAATGTTTATTTATTTAATATTATTATTATTATTCGAGAAAATATAGTAATGAGGGAAAATGATAAATAATAAAAGGGAATAATAATGTTATAATTAAAAAAAAAGATCATGAAGTGTAAAGGTAAAAAGAGAGAGAGAGAGAGAGAGAGAAAAGATAAGATCTAAAAAAAGATTTCCTTCAAGTCGATCGAGAGTAAAAAGAGAAAAAAAAAGAGAAAGGCAGAGAGAAAGAGAGAGGGAAAGGGATTGGAAAGGTCTCGCTTTAGTGGTTCACTAGGAAGATAACCGATTGAACTCTGTGCTGGTATGGTGTTGTTGATGGTGGTTGTGTTGAGTGGTTGTGCTGATGCTGGTCGATCGAGTAAAAGGGGTTTTTTTTTTCTTGTTTCTTTCCCCTAATAATTATATCTATTTTTCTCTCTCTCTCTTTTTTTTTGATTCCGAACGACGAATATTATATGTTATATGTAATATTAACGATATATTTTATGTATGTATTGTAATGTACATACATACATATATATATATATATATATGTATGTATTTAGCATATCTATTTATGCCATGGATGATTATGACGACGACGACGAAAATGATAAAAATGATTTTGATATCGTTCGAATCATTCGAAATGATATCCCATTCGTGGCAATCGATGTACGATAAAAATGATAAAGATGATAAGGATCGTCACTGGCTCGTACTCCCTCCTGTCCTCCTAAGAAAAAAAAAAAAAGAATAAATAAATAAATAAAAATAAAAATAAAAATAAAAAAGAAAAAATAAAAGGAAAAAAAATGTCGACGAAGATTAGTCGTTGATTGGTTGGTGCATCCCAACCAGTGCCTTAACACTTTTAACATAATCGACGCAGATCGTGATCGTGATCTGTTGTTCAATACTTTCGTCTTTTGTATTCTGTGTTTTTGTTTTTTTTCTTTTTCTCTCTCTCTCTCTCTCTCTCTCTCTCTCTCTTTTTTTTCTTATTAACTTTTTTGATATATGCCCTTTTCCCTTTCCCCTCTATTTATTTTGATATCTTTTAAATATATATTTATATTTCTCTTCTTCTTCTTCTTCTTCTTCTTCTTCTTCTTCGTTTTACGTTTGTATTTTTCTTTTTTTTCTCTTAACGCTTTTACTTATTTATTTATTGATCCATTTATTCTTTCATTTGCTTTCTTTCTCTTTTTCTTTTTTTTTTCTTTTTTTTTTTTTCAATATCCTCTTTCTGATTCATACATACAATGATTTTGCGAAACGCGAAATCGACACTCTAACAAAATAATAATCAAGTTAGCCACTTTGTGTATGTTTTTCCGATATTATCGCATAGCTTCTTCTTACATGCTCGTTATTTTTCTTTTTTTTTTTTTCGTTTTTTCTTTTTTAGTCTTTTATTTGCCTTTAAAAACGACGTGTATTAGTTCTTTTTTCTCTGTCTTTCTCTCTTTCTCTCTCTCTCTCTCTCTGTCTCTCTTTTTTTTATCATATGTTCTTTTTCTCTTCTTTTTACAAAAATTTTGTTTTCTTGCTCTTTTTTTTCTTTTTTTTTTTTTTTTTTTTTTTTATAGAAGCTCCCTCAGTATTACCCTTCAACAATTTTCTTCGAGGACCTCTTCTTCTCCGTAAACACGTATACACGTATATCTACACACATACATATAAATATATAAATATATACATTTATATATATATATATATAATACATACACACATATATATATATATATATACATACATATACATATTTTAGCTCTCTGACCGATAAACCTCTTTTGCTCGATAAACCCTTTTTAACTCCTTCGAGCTTGAAAGGCTTGGTACGCTTTAGTTTTTTGTACTCTCATCCCTCCCCGTATCATCGTCATCGTCATTGTTATCGTCGTCATCATCGTCATAAAAAATGCATCATTTGCAGCTATTATTCGTACGTCTTAACGCGAGTCATTAACTTACGTTATTTATAAAAATAAATTGTTATGTTAAAATAGTAACATATACGTTTCTTCAATTCGTTTACGTTATTTAAATTGACAAAGGATATTTAATTATATCGTCGTATCGTTCAAATAATTAAAAAAATAAAAAATTAAAAATTCAATATTCAGTGTGCTGTGAATTTGATCGATTGATATAATTGGAACAATAAGTTGCATTGTTTCTTTTTTTCTTATCAAAAGAAATTAGTTCTCTCTCTCTTTCTCTCTCTCTCACACACACACTCACACACACATTCCGTTCT